TGACTCTAAGTCCATTGCTCCTTCTTCTATATCAACAGCCAAACCTCCTGTGCCTCCTCCTCACCCCTATAATGATGATGATGATGATAATCATCACAGCTGACATTTATATAGCACCTATTATGTGCCAAGCACCCTGGGAGGTGGATGCTATTATTATCCCTGTTTCAGAGATGAGGAAACTAAGGCAGACAGAGGTTAAGTGACTTGCCCAGGGTCACACGAGCAGTAACTGTCGGAGGTCAGATATGAACTCAGACCTCCCAGACTCCAGGCCAGGTGCTCTATTCAGTGTATCACCTAGCTACCTTGAAAGAGTTTCACCCATGCTGGGGCTTCAAGGGGAGGTATACATACCAACCAAGCAGCATTTATTAAGTGCCTGCAATGTGGTTGCACCGTGTTAGGCACTGAGGATAAAAAGATAGGGAGGAAGTAATCCTTGACCTTTAAAGAGCTTATATTCTCTATCAGGGAACAATATATAATATATGAGGAAATTAAAAGTATGTACAAAATAATGGGGGCTGTGGTTTGGATGAGAGGTGAGGAAGGGGTCTATTCCAGCATGGAGGGCAGGAAAGGCATGGAAGTGGGAAACAGAACATCTTGGAGGAGGAACGGCTGCAAGTAAACCAGTTTGATCAGAACACAGAAGGTATGAAGGGAAGTAATTTGTAAAAAGCCTGCAAAGGAGGGATGGAGCCAGGTAGCAGAGTGCTTTACATGCCTAGTAGGAATTTGTATTTTATCCTAGAGGCAATAAATAGGGAGCTGCTGGACCTTTCTGAACAGGGAGTGACAGGCTCAGACCTGGGCTTTAGGAATATCACTTCAGACACTATATAGAAGACTTGGAAAAGGGGCAAGTCTGAAGCAGGGAGATCAGTTTGGGGGTGAGTAAACAGAGCAGAAGAGGGGTGAGGAGGGCCTAAACGTGAGGGTAGCCAAGAGAGTAGAGAGAAGAGAACAGATGTTAGAGAAGCTGTGGAGGCAGAATGGGCAAGACTTTTTTATGAGTGAGGAGTTAAGGTGCCCTCAACAGAAATAAGGAAATTAGGAGGAGGAGCTGGTTTAAGAGGAGAGAATGAGTTCTGTTTCAGAAGTGTCAAGTTTGAGAGAGATATCAGAACTGCATAAATAGATCTGGGAGTCGTCTGCACAGACACACCATACAATAAATACTAAAAACATTTATTAAGTACCTACTATGTTCTGGGCATTGTGCTAAGCCCTGGGGATACAAATAAAAAATGGCTTTGATGGGGCACCTCTCACCATTATTATTTTAATTAATTAAAAGTAATTAATTTAATTAATCTGTTACCTCTATGACTCAGAACAAAGGACAGAGATGCAGAGTATGGGCTTTGCCTTATTTTCCTCCATATTTCCTAACAAACAGCCTTCTCTCACCACCAGCAACCAGAATCTGCTTCCCATTCCGACTGGCTGCCCACCCAGTCCATCTTGCCCTCCCTGCCCTCCCAAATCTTCCGACTACACCTTATGGACCAGAGCTCCTGAAATCATGCTCACCAGTCCTTGAAGGAGTTGATCAATTCAGCTTTGAAACGCTTTCCCTAAAGCTGCCCTAGCTTGATTGATGGGTAAATGTCAACTTATGTCACCCACAACATCTAGCCAACCTGAGGCCAGACCACGAATCACATCCCATACAGCTGTACACCCCTGTAGTATATCTTGTCACCTGCCTACCTTCTCTGGCCACAGTAATCAAATCAATACTACCACTGCTTCTGGAGAGGCCATGTCACCTACCCTGTGACTCCCTAGACCAAAACTCCCTTCCCTGGCCACCATTCCTCTACGTCTGATGTTTCCCCACATTCAAATATGGGCTCCTTGAGGTCAGGGACTATCTCTTCTGTAACTGTATTCACTCAATCGATAAGCATTTATTAAGCACCTATTATGTGCCAGGGACTATACTAAGGCAAAAGATAGTCCTCGCCCTTGAGAAACTCACACTCTAATGGGAGAGACAATATGTAAACAACTACACGTAAACTACATACAGGATAAATAGGAAATAATCAACAGAGGGAAGGCACTAGAATTAAGGGGGAATCAAGGAAGGTTTCCTGTAAAAGAAAGAATTTTGCTGCTGCTGCTGCTGTTTGTCTTTTGTTCTCGAAGAGGACCATGACATCATGGAGGTGATGTCACGACATGCAAGTAAATTGGATTTAAGTGAGGGAGGGCCGTGCAAAGCCACCAGCCTCACTTTCTCCTCTGGAGCCGTCTTGGTCCAGTGGCCAGATATAGATCAGGACATCTGGAGATGGATGGCCCCAGATGCAGTGGGGAACCTTGGCCTATTCAAGCTAAGGTCTTTAACAGGCTTCAGTAAAATTTTAGCTGGGACTTGAAGGAAGCCAAGAGGAAGAGATGAGGAGGGAAAGCATTCCTCTTAGTACAATGCTTAATGAATGCTTTTCAGCTCTTACTTCTTTCCCTTCTTTTCCCCCTTTCTTCCTTCCTTCTTCCCTTCTACTCTTCTTTTCCTCAAATGAAATGGCAAAGGAGAACCTAATATATAGGCCATAAGGCAATGGTTTCAACATGGAGCTGTTTTCTCTTTGAGAAACCCCAGGCATTTTCTTCACATGCAATTCCACAAATATTTGACTACCTACTACATAGGAGGCAGGTTCTGTATTGGATATAGGGATTATTAAAATAGAGTTCTTGCCTTCAAAATGTTTACAATCTAATAATCTAATATTGAGGTTTAAGAAAGTCTATAAATCTAGATGATATATACAGTACAATAACTGTAAGAGGGATAAAGTACTGTGATAGTTCAAAAATCACACCTCATTAGGAGAAACTGAAAAAGGCTTCAGGAAGAAGGCTTTTGGGATGTGCCAGATTTCAACTGATGGAGGCTGCAGATACTGGAGGGGCTGGCAGGCCCAGTGTACACTGCAATAGGCTGCTTGGAAAGGTGGGTTGGGGCCATACTGTGGAAAACCTTGAATGCCAGAATGAGACGCTACTGAAACTTTTTTTTTTAACAGGACATTAACACAGGTCAGTCCCATACTCAATAAATAAACTTCCCTGCTAGCTGTGTGACCCTGGGCAAGTCACTTAACCCCACTGCCTAATCAATCAATCCAATCAATCAATCAATCAATAAATTCCCATGGCTCCCTATTACCCTCCAGGAGTTTGACATTTAAAACTCTTCATAACCTGGCCCCCTTCCACTCTTCCCCAGCTGTAAGACCTAGCCACACTGGCCTACAGGCCACGCACCATACTCTGTCTTCCGTGTTTTCATTGCTTGCTCCCCAAGCCTGGAATGCTCACCCTCCTCATTTCTGCTTTTAGCAGCCTTCAAGCTCAACTCTTGCTTTTTCTGAGGGCCCCTTCCCAGTCCAACAGCAATCGCCAACCAGTCCCTTCCCTCTGATGTCACTTTCATGTACTCTCAATAGGATCAATCATTTACATGTTGCCTACCCATTAGAATGGGAGCTCTCTGAGGGTAAGGGCCGTACCTTTGCCTTTCTTCATATCCTCAGCCTGGCACATACTAATGACTCAAGAAAAGATTGTTGACTAACTGCTTTGGGTCACTTTATAAGTAAGAAAATGTCCTGAGGGAACCAAACAAATACCATACCCTTCTAACAATAACTCGTTAAGTAGGTAAGGAAGAAAATGGAGGGAAAGAGGAAAGAAGGAAGGCAAAAGATAGGATGGGGGAGGGGGAAGAGAAGATGGAGGGAGAGGCATGATGGGGATGAGGAAAGGGGAAGGAAGGAGGAAGAAGGGGGAAGAGGAGAAAAATGCAGAGAAGATGGGAAGGAGAAGAGAGGGAGGAGGAGGAGGGAGAGGAAAGGGTGAGGAAGAGGGGGAAGGGGAAAGAGCGGATGGAAAAGGAAAAGGGAGGGAGGAAGGGAGAGCATAGGGAAGGGGAGGGGGGAAGGGAGAAGAGGGAGAGGGAAAGAGGGAGAAGGGAGAGGAGGGGGGAGATGGAAGAGGAAGAAGGGAACAGAGGAGGGAGATTGAAGAGGAAGAAGAAAGAGGAGGGGGGAGACGGAAGAAGGAGAGGGGAGAGGAAAGGGGGAGATAGGAGAGGAGGGGGAGGCGGAAGAGGGAGAGGGGAGAGGAGGGGGAGGCGGAAGAAGGGGAGAGCTGGGAAGTGGAAGAAGGGAAGGGAGCAGGGCAAAGGGAGAAGTTCCCATAGTCCCCATAGACGGCGGTCCGCCGAAGCACAAGAGGCTCCCCGACCAGAGAGGGGGCCCAGCACTGCCCAGGAGGCGCCCAGAGCGTTGTTCCCTGGCCCGGGGATTGTAGGCTGCGAAATGCTCGCAGGCCTCGGTCCCGACAGGAGCCAGGGCACCGCTTCTCCACCCGGGGCAGCTCCAGCTTCTGCTGCTGCAGCCGCCGCCGCTACCACAGCCCGCAGACTCTCACCTCCTTGTCCGCCGCCTTCTCCCCGATTCCCAGGAGTGCGTACAGGTCCATTTGCAACAACTCCTTGGTCACCGCCATGGTCCCGACCCCCGAAACCGGCGTCTTCCTCCGCGAACTACAAATCCCAGGAGCCTAAGCGCGGGCCCTCGCCAGGGAGTCCTCCCGTCTAGCCGACCCTGCGTTTGGCTGTTCGTGTTGGAGGCGCTTTGCCCCCTGGGAGTTGAAGTTTTTTGGAGCCCATCGAAGGCCGCCTGCTGGAGGAAAAGAACTACTCTTCCCAGCAGGCATCGCTCTAGACCTCGCTGGACCCAGCCCGGTCAATCCCAGGCCTCCTGGGCTATTAAGGGGTGGGGGCACCCGGAGCCGACAGTTGTAAGGACTGGGTCGCAGCTCAAGTCTGTCTTGAGGGCCTAAGAAAGAAAGTCTGGCTGCGGAGGGGCAGTGTCCTGGAGGGCCGAGGAAGCTGACTGTCCTGCCCTGGAGATGGAGGGCAGGTGCTATGGTTGCGCGGCCAAGTTCACTCTGTTCAGGAAGGAGGCAAGTCTAGTTGTCCCTGGAGCTTGGGAGCGGCGCGCCCTCCCCCTTTAAAAAGCATCCTGCCTCCTGCACCCCCCCCTCGTCATCCCGTCTTCTTCCCTTCCCCCTCCCTCACTGCCCACCTTTCCTCCCTCGGTCCCGTCTCCGGATCGCTGACACTCCCCTTGGCTCCCTTCCTCAGGCTGCCCTTATGCACCCTCTCCTTTCTGGCCTGACCGTTTGGGTCAGCGTGTCCTCATGGTTTTTCATGCCACCGGGATCACGTGGACCCCGCTGCTAGGGATGCCTTGTCTGATATGAGCAAGGATTCCTTGGCTACCCCGGGATGTGTGGCCCTGGGCATGGTACCTGGCTCGCTTCCTGGACTGTAAGAGGAAGGAAATGCTTCAGTGTGAGAGGAGCCACACCAGACTGGAATGGAAGGATGGCCACATCTCCTTGTACCACCCTCAGCCGAGCTGGTTTTCATCTGTGCCAGGGACAGACCAAAACTGGGCAGAGCTTCACCCCACCCTATCATCACCAGCTTTCCAGAAGAAGCATAAGAATCTGCCACATCTCTGGTGGCATCAAACTGAGAAAAGGGCAAGCATTATGTGCCAGGAAGGAACTTTATAGAGGATTTTGTTTTCTCTGGTCTGCTGAGTGTGCATCTGGCTCCATCACCAACTCTGCCAGGGTTTAGACGCCACCCTTTCTCCTCCCATCTCCCCCACCTATGGAAGTGATTTCCCACTGTTTCCCTCCTCAGCATATCATATGTTCAGCATACTGAGAGATCCCTGTGGGAAAAGTACCCCAAGAGGACCCGGTGAAGTGTAAGTATGGGTTTTCTTGCCTCTTGTTTTTTGTGTAGTGTGGTTGTAAGAACTGTGGTCGAGCCTTCTGTTCCAACTGCCTCTCCTTCAGTGCCGCTGTGCCCCGCTTTGGGAACACTCAGCAGAAGGTCTGCAAGACATGCCATGAGGTGCTGAGCAGGTGAGCAATACAAATGATCGATCAAAACACAAGAGCAGCCTCTGGCAGAGGTGCTTGATCATAAACTAGTGAATGTGAAAGAGGCAAGGGGAAGGGCAGTTAGGCGGCACAATGGATAGAGCTCTGGCCTTAGAGTCAGGAGGACCTGAGTTCAAATCAGGCCTCAGAGCAGACACTTGACACTTACTAGCTGTGTGACCCTGGGCAAGTCACTTAACCCCATTGCCTAGCAAAAGAAAGAAAGAGGCAAGGGGAAAGTTCATTAAGTATGATGCTTGTGCAGCTCCTCGCACTTACCTATGTAGGTTTCTAAGTCTGTAACATAAGGATGTACCACAGTGAGGTCACGGTGGCAGTGCCCACAGGACTACATATGACTGTGAGCTTTCTCCCTGCAGAGGGCCTTCGGAGGCCAACGTCTCCAGGTGGTCACCACCTCAGAACTACAAAAAGTGAGTGCTGGATGGGGGTGAGCATAAAGACAGGGAACCCACCTCATGCTGGGCTGTAGAGTCACAGGGATTCCCTCTGGAGACCACCTTGTGACCCAAATGAATATGGAAGGCTGGGAAAAGGTCACTCCTTTCCAGGCTGCCTGGTCCAATATCCCACCCTCTGATATGGCACAGAACTTTCACCAGTTTATTCCCACCCAGTCCTGGCCTCTCTGCTACAGTCTCTAGCTGGGAGGACATAAGCCAAGATTCTCCATTGAGGTGACAGCTTTTCTACCTAGGGCACCCCTTTCCAATCTAGACTTTAGAATTTCCTGTTGATAACTGGAGAAGTCCTTTTCTTACTTACTTCTTCCCCTTACTTTGAGAAACCCAGAATGTAGGCTCTTCCCTTCCATCCCTTTGCCTATACCAGCCTGTACCACTGGTTCCAGTGACCCTAGCTTTTCAGCAGCCTCCATTCCCTTCCCTGAACAGGCGTGTTGCTGCATTGGAGGCCAAACAGAAGTTCATTGCTCCCCAGGGTGTGGTTCGACCACAGGGACTATCTCAAGAAGATCAAGTCATTGCCAAGCGACTTGAAAAACTCCGCCAGGAAACCAAGCCTAGTGAGTGGGATTGGGGATGGGTCCAGCTGAAAGCTGATACGGTAGAAAGAGGGCTGGATTTGGCGTCATCAACTTCAAAAACCCCCTCTTTCACTTACTCTGTATTTGACTTTGAGCAAGGCCTCCGTTTTCTCACCTGTAAAATAAAAGGGTTGGCCTAATTAACCTCTAAAGTCCCCTCTAGCTCAAAATCTATGATGCTGTGAACTCCAGATCATCTCAGTGGGGAGGAGAAACCTCAGCATCTGAAGGCCTATGCATAGAGAACTGGGCACCAAAAATCCTGGAGTGATCCTAGGACCTGACTTGTGGTTTCTCTGTGTGTGCTACAGAGGTGGTGGCTTCCCAGGCGGAGATTGAGGCCAGGCTGGCCGCTCTTCGGGATGAGCCTCGAGGCCCCATCCCTTCCACCAAGGAGATGGAGGATCGACTAGCTGTGCTGCAGGGCAGGGTCCCCCCGTCCCAGGCTTCCCGGCCAGTAAGAGCTGTAGCCCACCACTTGGGGGCCTTTGGCCTACCCAGCTGAACATGGGTTGAAGGATAGGGAGACAGAACAACGGATGTCTGGATAGAGTCCACATTTTGTAAGCTGGGAGGGTCCCCATATTGATTCTGACCACCATGCCCCTATGTTATATCGACTGCCACACCAGGTACCTTAATAGGGGGCTAGGGAGGGCCATCCAAGGATTCATGGAGCAAGTCCTTCGGTCCCCGGTTGAAGCCACAAAGTTGGTTATCTGAGTCCTAGTAACTCTGTTGCTCCTTATTACCCTAGATGGCATCTGTTTCTGGACAGGGGCTGTTTTCACATGCTGTTGGTACCCCATTCCTCGCCTCTCTGGGCTCCATGCCTTTTGAGTATCTCTTCCTGAGTGGGGTTCTCTGCACTGATCCAGGTCCACCAACCTCCTGACACCAGGACACAGGCCCAACAGACAGAGGACCTTTTGACGCAATTAGCAGCTGAGGTGGCAATTGATGAAAGCTGTGATCAAGAAACCTCACCTCCAGGTAATCTCTCCCTATCCCTATGCCCATCTATTCCCTCAGGGATGATTTACCATCACTTTCTGACAAGAGAAGATGGGACCATCCTAGTCCCCACTCCTCAGCTTCCCCTTCCAACTTTAACCCCATCTATGGTTTCTTTCAGGCATTTCCCTGCAAAACGACCTTAACCGGGATAGCCCAAGGGCCTGGAATATCGGCCCTGCTGAACTGGCCCACCAGCTGCTGGAAGGAGAGAAAGGCAGGCTCCTGGCCGAGGCAGCGGCAGAGCTAAGGGAGGAGAACACGCGGGAGGAGAGGATCCTGGCCCTTGCCAAGCGGCTAGCTGCACTTCGGGGCCTGGACCCCGAAGGAGGTAAGGTGCAGGGCTGGGGAACATCTGGATTTGGCCTGCAGTCAAAGGGACTGCTCCTGTCTCACCATGTGTGGTGTCAAGACTTTGGAGTTGGCAAAGCTTCCGTGCCCACCAGAGCAGGAGGCACTGAGTGGCACCCTGCCCGCCTGAAGGTAGATACAAGGCCCAGATGGGGCAGGTAAGCAAAAGGGCCCAGCTCTGATCTTCCCTATGTCCTTCACTTTCCCTAGAGCCTAATGTTGAGAGAACTCATCTGAGCAGATGCTCAGGAGGAACACGGCCTCTCTCCCTGGTCAGTCCTTAAGGCGCGTCTGATTTAGGCAACCTAGCAGGATGTACGCCAGGCTATCAGAGAAACGGCCATTCTAGGGCCGGGTCAGTGTCCTTATAACCTCTCCCCCGACCAACATCCCCAGCTGCCAGAGTGACGTTGTTAAATCAGTCTGGCTGTGTCCCCTCCTCCTCAGCCACCCCCATTCAAACTCCAGTGGTTTCCTGACTTCCAGAATCAAATAGAAAATTCTCACTAGACCCCTTCTGACCATCTTACATGCACTCTAACCACCCAGCCTCCTGGCCATTCCGTCTCCCAGTGCTTTGCATTTCAGTCACTGTCCCACCGTGATGGGAATGCTTACCTTCCTCACATCCGACCCCTGGCCTCAGTCCCACCTTCTGTAAAAGGCCTTCGCCTCTCCTTTACGCTCTCTGTCTTGTCTGTACGTAGTTGTCTGCGTGTTGTCTCACCCATTAGACTGTGAGCTTGAAGGCAGTGACCTTTCTTTGTGGTCTTTCTTTGTATCCCAGTGTTTAGCACAGTACCTGGCACATAGCACTTAACAGTGCTGGTTGACTGACTGACTGACTGCCCTAAACTGAACCAGGCTGGGAAGGGAGGCCGATGTTCACCCAAGAGACATCTTCTCCGTGTTAATTCCCTCCTCCTTTCCCTTGCTTTCAGTGACCTTGCAGAATTACCACTTCCCTGACAGCGATGAGGATGAAGAGGAGGCCATCCAGAGAGTCCTCCAGCAGGCAAGGCCTTTTTGAGCCATACCTTGCGTTCCCTGCCTCACCCGTCTCCTGTTTCTCCTCCACTGGATCATTCCCCCCGCTCCTGCCAAGTCCTTCCCCCCAGAATGGACATGTGCACACTCCCCAGGACTGGGGGTAGTTGCTGTCCAGGCCCTGCCCCTCTAGTTGAAGACCTGCTCCTGTCCAGCCCCAGTTCTGCTTTTTGCTCCCCAACGACAGTGGGGAAGCAGCAGCCAGAGTGGGGAGGAGGGTGAAGCAGGGCGGGGGGTGGGAGTGGGAGTGGCACAGCAGAGACTGAGTGGCAAAGGTTCCAGTGAGATCGGCCAAAAGAGAAGGACCCTTAGAAGTGTGGAGAAGAAGCTGCTCCTGGAAACCCTCCTCTCTTCCTGTTTGCAGCTTACAGAAGAGGCTGCCCTAGACGAAGCAAGTGGCTTCAACATCCCTGCAAAGCAGGTGCCTCTACCCCAGGTTCAGCCAAAAGCTAAGGTGAGACGCCTTGGCCACTGGCCCTCAAGTATGGTACAGAAAGCATGGAGTTCTGGATGTGAATTCTGACTCTTCTACTTACAAGCTGTGTGACCTTGAGCAAGTCATTTAACTTCTTTGGGACTCAGTTTCCTTATCTGTCAAATGAGGGGGTTGGGTTCTAAGGCCTCTAAGGTCTCTTCTAGTTCAAAACCTATGATCCTATCCATCCTTGTTATTAGAAATTGTCCCCATCCCAAAAGCGCCCTGGGGGTAACTCTCTACCTGCTGGCCTTCCGTTTCTCTGCAGGCCCTGGCTGCGGCCCCCAAAGCTGAATCAAAGGTGGTGGAGGAGCTGCCCTGGTGCTGCATCTGCAACGAAGATGCCACTCTACGCTGCCATGGCTGTGATGGGGACCTCTACTGCCCACGCTGCTTCCGGTAGGGAAAGGGGACCCTCTGCTGGGGAAGCCAGAGGCATGTGGGAGTGGGGAGGTGGGCAGAGATGGATGGCCAGGGAGCAGGTACACACGCCTGCCCTGGTCAGCGCCACTGACCGTTGCCCCTTTTGCCTGCAGGGAGGGCCACGATGCCTTTGAATGGAAAGAGCACAGGACATCCGTCTACCGCCCCCCCTGCACGGGACGAGAGCACTAACCCCGCTGGGCTTTGCTGGGATTGGTCCTGCTGGAAAGGCAGCCCTGTAGTTCATTCCTTGAGATGCTGGGGAAGAGGCCTAGGTTCTGCCTGCATCTCAGAGGATGCTCCTTGTGGGTGCCACTTGGAGTGTGGAGCTGGTGCATGAGGGAGCCCTCCTCTGCAGCCTTTGGCTTCCCAAGGAGGAGGCAGGATCCTCTTTCCTGAGACAGTGATTCAGCAAGGGAAGGGACTGGGAGTCTAGGGAAGGATGCACTCCCAAGTCAGAGCCACTGCTCAAGGGGAGGGGCTGTGTAGGAGAAGGAAAATAGAGGTCATCTGAGCATTTTGATTCTTACTGTACTAATATTATCAGTCTTAAAACCTGGCCCAAAAAGTTGTTCTCCCTCCTGGTCGCCTGGAAAACCACAGCACCTCATTAGCCTCCAATAAAATGTATTAACTCCCCAAAACTTGTGTCCTCTCTTCCCTACGGCCACAGGAGATGTGAGTCTGAGGCACCAGGTGGAAGGGGCAGGAGCAGGCCAGGGACTACTTCTGGATCTGTAGGCCCAGCCAAGGCCTTGGACCTGGACAGGGATCTGGCTTCTCACCACCAGCTTTGGGCAACCTGACACAACCACCTCAATTTCCTCAGTGCCTCTGGTGCTGGGCTTGAGAGTAGGAGGGATGCCTGAGTCTTGGGGCAAGGCCCATCGTGGACCTAAACTCCATCATCCAGCCAGTCCCCACATTGGATCGTATGCAAGATCTATGCACTGTCTGCTTCCTTCAAGAGGCAGCTAGGTGGCACAGCAGAAACCTGGCCTGGAGTCAGGAAGACATGGATTCAAATGCCATCTGAGACACTTACTAGTTGTGTGACCCTGGCCGAGTCACTTAACCCTATTTGTCTCAGTTTTGTCATCTGTAAAATGGAGATAATAATAGCACCTACTTCCCAAGGTTGTTGTAAAGGTCAAGTCCTACAACAATTGTAAAGCTGGGACAGTGACAGACGTAGCCCTGTGCCGTCCATCTGGACTTTTGCTACAAATAGCCAATGATCTTTCACCCCATTTCCCTCTGGGCCAATAAAACTCCACACTGATATCTTTTCCATGGGCTTTACCCTTCCAGATTCAAAACATGAGTCAGGGGCTTGTCAAAGAACCCCAGACACACCGACCCAGGGTCATTTGTCCAGTCACTGGGGAGGCCCAGCTGGTCTGCTAAGATGCTAAAGCTGCTTCTGCACCATATCCCCTAGGACAGTGTCCAGACATCTTTCATCCTCCATGTCGCTGGCCCATGAGTCCTGAGGGGGTGTGCCGCCCATCTCCACACACGAAGCCGCAAGGTCGAGGGGGTGGCTCTGGGAGGCAGGAAGGGTGAGGCCCACAGGGTCCATAGTCGGCTGAGATCTAGGGGTGGGGAAGGCAGTATGTAAAGTTTTATTTCTGAGGCCGGCTGAGCCTCCGGAGTTTCTTGACGCGACTAAGCAACTCGGAGATAAAGGGCTGGAAAGGAAAAAGGTGCTGACGTTACTTACACATGTCACTTCTAGTCAAAGCCACCCCTTCTGCCTTCCACCACACCACAGCTCTGTCCCTGGGAGGTGCTGACCACTATTCAGACCTCTGGGAGAGATCCTACCCACCTTCCCCCCAACCATCTCCCTATACAGAGTAAAATTAACTCCCCCGTACTCCCTTCTGAGATGACCTTCCATCTAACTCCATATATATCTTACATATATCTCGTCATTTACAACTTGTTTCCCATGTTAGAATGTAAGCTTCATGAGGGCAGGGACTGTTTTTGCCTTTATATCTCCAGCCTGACACACAGTAAGCACCTAATAAATGCTTGTTGGCTGACAGACCAGACACCTGCTCTGGCCTCTTCTCATTCCCTGGGCAAACTGGCCACACTTACCTCTGTAGGACGGACACACTCTTGGAGAATCACCTAGAAAGAAGAGAATCAATGATAAGTCACCCAGGGCAGCAAACCCTTCCCACAAACCTACAGTCTTCGGACCCTCTCCCCCAACTCAAACTCGCTGCTCATGGGGAAAAAACTATGAGTCCTTCCTCAACGAGAGCCTAAAGCTCTTCCCTAGGGTGTTCAGTTGGCCATCTCTACCCAGCGCCCTGGTCATTTCCCTTCACCTAAATTTACTCATTCCACAAAGGGCCACCAGAGGATTGTCTGCTTCTTCTTCCCCTCATGTGCCTTCAGACTCCCTGCCATACACCTCTTTAGCCCCAAGCTTCCTGTTTCTGTAGTGGGTAAAATACTCTGGAGTTGAGCCTCCTACCTGCAGTTTGCTTTTCTGTTCTTCCGTGGAGAGTTCAATGAAGTCTTCTAGGTCAAACTCAGGCACAGAGGACAATCGCTCCTGTAATGGAATCAGACAGGCAGTTTGGCATGAAAGGAAGAGCAATGGTTTTAAAAGTCAGCTCTCACATTTAGTAGCAGGGAGACTCTGGGTAAATCACTTAACCCCTCTGAAAATCTGGACTCAAATGAAATCATGGATGTAAAACATTTTGCAAACCTTAAATTAATATCTAACTGCCAGTTATTATCATCATCCTCAGTATTATTATTAGCCTACAGTGACCAGGCCTCAGGTCTGGTGATGACTACATTCCCTGAGCCTTCTACCAATGATCTCAAGCAACAGTTTTAGAGCAATTCAGGGATGTGGTGGTAAATGTTTAACAACCAGCTCTCTGAGGGGGAGGAATTATATGAGTCATTTTTCAGTCACATCTGACTCTTCATGACCCCATTTGGGGTTTTCTTGGCAGAGATACTGGAGTAGTTTGCCATTTCCTTCTCCAGGTCATTACAGAGGAAGAAACTGAGGCAAACAGGATTAAGTGACTTGCCCAAGGTCACACAGCTAGTAAGTGTCTGATTTGAACTTGAGAAGATGTCTTCCTGACTCCAGACCTGGTGTTCTATCCACTGAACCAGCTAGCTGCCCTATTGTTAAATTTAATCTGCATTATTAACCTCTTCTTCATTACTTTCCTAAGTCTAGACCAGTGGTATCAAATTCCTATAGGAATGGAGCCACTAATCCATATGTGAGGACCTGAATGACTGTATATTGACTTAGAAAACCACATATTGGCATTATCTATGTTCTATTGTGAGCAGCTAGGTGGTACAGTGGATAGAGCAGCAGGTTCCTGCCTCACTACACATTATGTTCATCCTGAAGTCTGTGATAGAACCAAACTGGCCATTTCTATGTACCTTATATATGACACCATCTCCTCTCTCCACATATTTGCACTGACCACCTGGAATGTACTCCCTTCCTCACCTCCCTTTCATAAGATATAACTCAAATGTAACCTTCTATACAAAGTTGTTTTTACAGCAACCCCCTCCCCAACCCCAGTTCCCCTCCTGACAAACTCCTTGTATTTATTTTATATGTTTATTCTGCATATTTTAAAAAATATTGATTTTCAATTCCAAATTCTCTCCCTCCTTCTAGCACTTCCTCTACCCATTGAGAAGGCAAACATGGTACTTATTATACATGTGAAGTCATGCAAAACATTTCCATATTAGCCGTCTTTCTGCATAGACTTATTTTTGGAGGCAATCAGGGTTAAGTGACTTGTCCAGGATGACACTAAAAGTGAACTCAGGTCCTCCTGACTCCAGGGCTGGTGTTCTATCCACTGCACCACCTAGCTGCCCCACTGCATGTACTTACACAGGTTCATGCTATCTCTCCCTGCCCCAGTAGAGTGAGAGCAGGGATTGTTTCATTCTTTGACTTTTTATCTCCAATACCTAGCACATATTAGGTGCTTGAGTGATTACTAGATGGAGCTGAGGAGAAGATTAGGATAGGAGACTCTACTCTGATGGGTGACATCTAAAATAACTGAAGAAACAAAGGCTCAAGCTGAATTATCGTGAGAAAATGGTGAGAAAACTCTATGCATCAGTCTTTGGATCTGACTGGGTTTCTGGTCAATACAATCTAGGTTCTTAGTTAAGGGTCTCTAAACAGCAAGTAGAGGTGGTCCAGCTTCCCAGCCACACAGGGCTGGGTTCAAACAATGCAACAGTTTTCTCACAATTCCCATAATTGAACAGAGTTTTCTCACAAGACAGAAATTGGACTAGACCCATAATTGAATAGAAAGGGAACTGAGCTAGATCCGGAATTGAGTCACAAGATGGAATCAGTATGATGATTCACTCAATTCCCACAGTTCTCACACTACTGTGACCCTTCTCCCAAATTTAGAACCTCTGCTCAGCTCCTGTATCTCCACCCCCCAGTTACACTTGTCTCTTGAGCTTTCTAGAGGGAAATTAGAACTGAGTTTAAATTCCATCCCTGACACTCACTACCTGTGTATCTATGGGTCATGGCTTCTCTGGGTCCTCGTCTGTGAAATGAAATCTTTGGTTGCCCGTATGCCCTTTAAGGTCCCTTCCAGCTTCGAATCTAGGGTCCCATGTTCTTAATCATGTTCACAACTAGAGGGCACATTCATGTTCTGTTTCAGGTCAACAGAAGCCCTGGAGGCGATGCTGAGTCTCTTCTCTTGTGGGACTCTGGTACAAAATTCAGGCTCACATCTATCTAGATTGTGTTAGGAAGTCTTTGGGGAACTGGTAGAGTCCAGACACAGAAAGAAGTAGAAGCCCCAGTGTCCTCAAAGATAGGACACTTGATCAGGGTGAGAGAGATCAGTCCTGGGTCCCATAAAATCAATAAGGTAGGTAAAGTGGGATATGACTTCCAGGTAGTGAGAATATGGCCTGGGAATAATGGATCTATCGACAAGTGCACCTATTACATGTGAGGTATTATGTATACAAAGACAAAAAGGACGGTGCAGGGAGCAAGAGGAATGGATCAAAAGTTAGAGGCCCTGGGTTCAAATCCCACATCTCCAGCTTACAACCTGTGTGACTTGACCAAGACCTTGATCTACTCTGAGTCCTTATCTCCTCATCCATAAAATAAGGGAGTTGGACAAGATGATCCCCAAGCCCTTTCCCGCTCTCAGTCTATTAACCTATGCTCATGATTCCAAGGAGCTAATCTGGCAGGTGGGGAAGAGGGAATTAAAACACTTAAGGGAATAGAGGGCAGATGGACCAGGCTACTATAATGGCCTGACCTCTGTCCACAGTGACCATTTGGCCGGGATTTCCCCAGCTAGAATACTCCTTCCTGCTGAGGACTGGGAGCCGTGCCAACTCTTGGCACTTTGGACAGTTGCCATGGTAACCTAATGTCAGATTCCGGACAGTGCTTAGGAGTGGTATTCCAGCATACCTGGGTGTTTTTCTCCTTATCTGGGGCTCCATAACTTAGAGTTATTTGGGTTTTTTTCCTCCTGCTTGGTAAAATGCAGTCCTTTTAGGAACCATTTTATTTTGATCCTAGGAGGACTAACTCTTATATACCCAAGATATGAGAATTTTAAACCAAGAATATGAGAATTTGAAATGGAAAAACATAGATCTTTAGAGAAGAGAACAGAGACAGAGAGAAAAAAAAAGAGAAAGAAAGAGAGAGAGAAAGAAAGAAAGAAGAGAGGGAGAAAAAGAAAGAAAGGGAGAAAGAAAGAGAGGGAGACAGAAAGAGAGGGAGAGAGAGAGAGAAAGAAATGGAGAGACTCTAAGTCACAAAATAACTGCAACCCCCCTCCCACAGCACAATGCCTACTAATACCAATAAAAGTGCTACAACTCAGACACTTACTAGCTTTGTGGCCCTGAGCAAGTCATTTGACTTCTTTTTCAGTTTCCTCGTCTGTAAAATGGGGATAATAATAGCAGGGTTGTTGTGAGGATAAAATGAGGTGATACATGTAAAGCACTTTGCAAACTACTCTATAAATGTGAGCTAATATTATTATTATCACTTTACTTAAGTAATTATGATTAGTTGACATTTAAAAAGAACTACATAGTTGACATCAAAAAGAACAAACTTCTTATTAGCCTGATATTCAGAGCTCTCCACAGTTTGACTCCAGATAGACCCCGTTTCACCTGTTCTACTAACCAGCCAGATTAGATTAATAGATACTGCCGAATTTCACCCTACACTCTAGCATCTCCATACATTCAAGCATTCCTCCCTTCCTGAACATCACTCTGTCTACCTCTCTGATAATTCTCTTCCTCCAAAGCCCAGTTCAGGTGCTTCCTCTTCCTTTAAGGACTGGCGAGGTGGAAATAGTTGTTGATTTGAGGTCAGCAGCTCCAGATTCAAGTCCATCACTGCCACTTCTATCTTCCACTCTGCCAAGTCCATCTCCAATCACTATGTTATCTTAGGCAAATTACTTCATTGCTTTGGCCTCAGTTTCCTCATTTGTAAAAAGAGGGGTGTGCATTAGCTGAGCAAGAGATTGATGTTTTTCGTCTCTTTATCTCCACCCTGGAAAGTGTTCAGGGCACTATCAAAGTGCCTGGAACATAGCAGGTCTTTAAATGCTTGTTGAGTTGAAAAATAGACTGGCTTTTAAATGATGCCATTTGATTAGGAGGTTTCCTTTGCTATTCTCTTTCCCAAATAACAAGAAGCAACTACACAAACCCCTTTTGAAGTCACTCAACATGTCCCAAATAGAATTCATTATCTTCCCCCCCAAAACTTGCTCCATTTCCTTAGTAAAGGGGGCCATCGCCCAGTCACGCAGGTATGACTCCATGACTCAGGTATTTGACCTCAGAGTTATCCTTGACTCATGACTCTCTCTTACCATCCCAGAACTAATCAGTGGACAAGTCCTGTCAATTCCACTTTCACAGCTGCTGCATCTGTCTGCTCCTCTCCACCACAAGACCACTCCCTTTGTTTGAGCTCTTGTCACCTCTGTTACAAAAGCTTCCTAAATTATCTCCCTGCCTCTAGTCTCTTGCCTTCTCTGATCCATCCTCCACATAACTGCCAAAGTGATATTCCTGATATTTATTTGTATCTAATTGCGTCATTCCCCAGCATAGGAAGCTCTAATGGTCCCCAGAGGTCTCTAGGATAAAATACAAACTCCTAGTTTTGGCGTTTAAAGGCCTTCACAATCTGCCTCCAACTGTGCCTTCTGGACCAATTATAAATCACTCCCTGACTTCCACTCTACATTTCAGCCAAATTGACCTATTTGCTGCTCTCCATGCCTGACACTAGCACCTCCTCTTTCTGTTGTGTCTTTGCATATGCTGTTACCCATGCCCGGCATGCTCTCCCTCTTAACTCCGACCTTTATTGAGCATCTACCATATGCCAGGCACTGTGTGAAGTGCTTAAGGAGATAAAGAAAGGCAAAAGGAGCTCATAGTCTAATGGGGGGGACAATATGCAAACAACTATATACAGACAAGCTACACTCAGGATGAACTGGAGATATAATCAACAGAGGGAAGGCTGTAGGGGATCAAGAAAGGCTTCCTGTAGAAGGAGGGATTTTAGCTAGAATTTGAAGGAAGCTAGGAGGCCGAAATGAAGACAGAGAGAATTCTAGGGATGTGGGACAACCAGTGAAAATGCCCAGAGTATTTGGAACTCAAAATTTTTAAAAATGAATACTAAAAGAAATTTGTTTACATGTAATTAAGAAAGAAAATAAAACATTAAATGATACAAAGAAAACTCCCAGAGCCAGGAGGTGGAAAGTCCTATGTAAGGAACAGAAAGGAGGCTGGTGTCACTGGACTGAAGATTACTTGGAGGCTAGGATGCAAGATAGAAGACTGGAAAGGTGGGAGGAGGAGAGATGATGAAGGGCTTTGAACGCCAAGCGAAGGATTTTCTATAAGATCCTAGAGGTAATAGGGAGCTACTGGAGTTTACTGAAGAGGGGGTATGACCTAGTCAAACCTGCATCTTAGGAAGATCACTTTGGTGGCTGAACAGAGGATGGAATGGAGAGACTTGTTTGTAGCAGGCAGAACAACCAGCTGGCTATTACATAGCCCATGGGTGAGGTGATAAGGGCCTGCACCAGGGTGGTAGCAGTGTCAGAGGAGAGAATGGGGCATATTAAAGAGAAGTCCTGAAGGTAAAATCAATAGTGCTTGGCAACAAATTGGATATAAACAGACAGTGAGGGAGTGAAGAGTGGCTGCAGACATAGAGGTTTTGAGCTGAGGTAAACTGGAAGGATGGAGGCAGCTAGGTGACTCAGTAGATAGAGAGCTGGACCTGGGGTCAGGAAGACTCATCTTTCTAAGTTCAAGTCCAGCCTCAAACACTATTGGCTGTGTGACCCTGGGCAAATCACTTCACCCTGTTTGCCTCAGTTTCCTCATCTGTAAAATGAGCTGGAGAAGGAAATGGCAAACCACCCCAGCATCCATAGAAAACCCCAGTGGAGTCATGAAGAGTTGGATATGACTGAACAACAATAATAATGATAACTTCTTCAACAAATAGGGAAGTTAGGGAGGGAGGAGGGTTTCAGGATGATGATAATGAGTTCACTTTTGGGTATGTTGAGTCTTAGCGCCATGGAGTTCTAAGATGTCCAGTAGGTGATTGGAGATGGGAGACTAGAGGTCAGCAGAAAGGTTGGGTTGGATAAGTAGACTTGAGAATCATCTGCATAGATGATAAATGAATCCACGGGGGCTGATGAGATTACCACATGTAGAATCTCTAGTTTCCTGGAAAGCACAGCTCAGGTAGCACCTCCTAAAGAGTGCCTTTCCTGATACCCTATTAACTAGTGCTCTCCCCTCCCTAAATTTATCTTATATTTGTATTTTGCATTTACTTGGTTGTATACATATTTTTTCTCTCTTAGTATAATGGAAGCTCCCTGAGGGCAGGGACTACTTCATTTTAGTCCTCTTCTCCCCAAGTGCCTAGCACAGTGTTTGACACGGGCACAAAGTATGGGTTCAGTAAATGCTTGTCAAGTTGAATTGAAACCCAAGTACTATCTCGGTCAGTTGGGAGCTTACAATCTAATTATAATCACACAGTCATGCCCAGAACAATTGAATCTGAACATTGTGACATTGTAAAAACCAAACCATCTCAAGGAGGAAATATGAGAAGATACCTGCCCTAATTCCTTTGAAGAGGTGGAGTCCGTGGGTGTAGAACACTGCATAGCATGTCAGATTTTTCTATGTGAATTTTTTTTCCTCTTCTTTTAAAAAATTTGTTATTGCTGGAGAGACTTACATGAACTGATGCTGAGTGAAGTGAGCAGAAGCAGGAGAACGTTGTACACAGCAACAGCAAATTGTACGATGATCAACTATGATAGACTTACCTCTTCTCTGCGATACAACTATCCAAGACAATTCCAAGAGACTCATGATGGAAAATGCTATCCACACCCATATGCGTATCAAAGCACACTATTTTCACCTTTTTTATTTTTTGTTTTTTATTCTCTTGGTTTTCCCCTTTTGTTCTGATTCTTTTTTTCACAACATGACTCACAACATGACTAATGTGGAAATATATTTAATATGATTTTATGTGTATAATGTTTATCAGATTGCTTGCCATCTTGGGGAGGAAGGAGGAATGGAGGAAGAAAAAATCTTATAAAAGTGAATGTTTAAAACTTTCTTTACATATAATTGGAAAAAATAAAATACTATTAAAAATTTGTTATGAAGTATGGCTCTAGGTGTGGAAACACATAGGAAAATGTAGATGATATATTAAAAAACTATCAATAAGAATCTGTTAAAAATAACATCTGTAAAAACTAACATGTTATAAAAATAACATTTAACTTCATTAAAAATAACAAAATCATTATTCCTCTGGGACGGAAAAGGTTGGAGCCATGAGTTAAAAGAGGACAAAGGGATAGACCAGAAGACATAGAGTCCAAGGACACCTATTTGAACCCAGATCTGGCTGAGTAAAAATAGTGACCACTTACCCATGATGAAGACCAAAACATGTCTTTGCCCTATCTGGGAAGCAAAGGACCAGGAAGAAGGAATACATGTTTATTAAGTACTTGGTACATTCCCGTCACTGTGCTAAGCACCTTGCAAATAATATCTCCTGTGAGGTAGCTGCTGTTATTATTCCCATTTTATAGATGAAGACACTGAGGCAGGAAGCAGTTCAATGACTCGCTCAAAGTCACATGGGTAATAAGCATCTAAGGCTGAACTAGGGTCTTTCTGACACCAGGCCCAGTGCTACATCCACTGTGCCACCAGGTGCCTCTGGAAAGCCAGAGACAGAGCCAGAAACTAGTTGTGAGAAAAAGTCCAGATTAGCAGACTAGCACCAATTTCGATCACCAGCAGCCTCTCTTAGGGCCACATGTGTGAAATTGAATTAAGATCTATGCCGCTCCATGCTTTTCAAAGCACTTTGATGTTTATTCATCACAAGCACCCTACCTCCACGGGGTTAGTGACCCTCCACCCCCAGTCCATCCCTAGAATATCAAAACTTGGAAGGAACCTCAGAGGTTATTTTATCTGTGTGCATGTTATCTTCCCCATAGATTGTAGGGTACCTGAGGGCAGAAAAAAACGTCAGCTTTGCTCCTGACTCCCCAGATCCCTAATGCCTACCACAGGGTCTAGCACGCAGTAGGCCCTTTTTAAAAACTTGTTAATTGATTCACTGATGAATTGATCGATCTGGTTCAAACCCCTATTATAAATGAGGAAAATGAGACCAAGAAGGATAAAGTGATTCACCCAAGGTCTCACATCAAGACAGCAGCAGAATCAGGATTAGAATAAAGTTTTCTAGATAGTCAACATTTTTTTAGCTTTCTGTTTTAAAGAGATTATTATTGATCTCTTTTGTTTTTACATCATCTAATTTTCCCTCCTGTACTCCTCACCACAGAGTAAATATTTAATAACTATTTGTTAAATTGAATCAAATTACTAAGGCAAGTAATATCCCCATTTTATAGCCGATGAAACTGACACCCAGAGGAATCTTACCCAAGATCCCACAGCAACTTAGAGGGAGATCTAGATGGTGCAGAGGATAGAGTTCTTGATTTGAAGTCAGGGAGACTGGAGTTTTAATCCAGCCTCATTTACTAGCTGTGTGACCTTGAGTAAGTCACTTGATCTTTCTCAGCCTCAGTTTTCCCATCTCTAAAGTGAAGAAACTAATGACATCTACCTCACACAGTTGTTGTGAGGATCAAAAGAGAGCAAAGACAGGGTGTCCCACAAGTCTTAGTGCAGTTTTAAGCTATTAAAATTAAGCTATAGGGACAGCTAGGTGGTGCAGTGGATAGAGCATTGGCCTTGGAGTCAGGAGGACCTGAGTTCAAATCTCACCCCAGACACATAACACTTACTAGCTGTGTGACCCTGGGCAAGTCACTTAACCCCAGATTGCCTCACCCCAAAAAAAAGATAAGAATAAGAATAATAATAAAGATAAAAAAATTAAGCTATCAAAATTGTACTAAGACTCTTGGGAGATCCTGTAATATAGTGCTTTTGCAAACTTCAAAGCACTATCTGAATGCTATCTATTATTATTGTTATTGTTACAGCTGTCACTAGAATCCGTATTTCTTGACTCCTACTTCTACTCCTACTCTTTCTCAGTGCTCTGTCGTTACACCAACCTGAACTTTTGTCCACTAAGGAGCAGCCCCAGTGAATCTTTGACAGAAGGTGCGAAGAATAAGTCCCATTTTTCACAACAGAAAGCTTTTATACCTGCTTGTTTCCCTTTCCCTCCAGCCAGTCACCTAGTCCTTTCTGATCTCTGGCTCCTTTATCTCTCTCCATTCTGTCGCTCCAGCCATCCCCTTTGCTGCCCACCTCTCCCAGGCATCCCCAGATCCCCTCTGTCCACACCTGGTACAGCTCCTGAAGCTGGGAATCCACCCACTGCTCTATCTCTTGCCACGTCTGTAGTTGTCCCAAGTCATACTTCACTGTCAAGCGGCTTGGTCTTCGGGCCTTTGGACCTGGAGCTTTGGAAGAATCCATCTGGGGCTTTGAGTGCTCCTCTTTGGATGTCCTTTTCTCAATAACGTAAGCCCACTGGACCTGCTTCATGTGGTTCTCCGGGTCCCTATTGGGCATTGAGTCACAGGGAGAAGGGCATGAGGAAAGCATGGGCGTCTAGCTCTGCACAAGGAGTTGGGAATAACTGTTCAGGGAGTGACAGAGATAATATAGGAGTAAAGGAGAACAGGAGGAAGGAAGGTAGGGACAGAGAGACTACTCTTAGGTGCTGGGAGGGGCCAAGGGACAAAGGTCCCAGAAAGCTCTGGTCACCAGCCTCCTACTCCTGCTCTCCAATTGGTGCTGTTTCAGAGATTAGTTTATTTATTTCACTAATAAGTGAAAATAATAGCAGAGGGTGCAAAGAGCAAGCAGCCTCAGGCCCCAGGGAGGTGCAAAATTCCATGTTAGCGGCATCTAGAGGCCAGGCAGATAGAAACAGCTTAGCTTCTGGGCTGAACAGGGCTGAAGTTGAGCCAAGGGCTGGATGGTGGGCCTGAGGCTGAGTCCATGACCTGAGCCAAGAGCAAGATCAATTCATTTCAACAAACATTTATGATTATTAAGTACATTTTACGATTAGGAGTGGCAATGTGACATGGTGAATAGAGGCCTCGAAGTCAGGAAGATCTGGGTTCAAGTCTTCCTTCTGACACATGAGGGCTGTGTGACCCTGCGTAAGTGACTTAACCTCTCAGCAAGGTTGAGCCCATAACTGAGGAGGTGCTGCTATGCCTTGGCAAAGGCAGTTTCTTAACTTTGGCTCACTGGTTGAGGTAGGGGAATTGGAATACTCCTTTCTCCCCATTGCCACTTCCAGGTTCTCCCCATCTCCCTCACTCAGTGACACCTCCTCCTTTGAGGTTCATGCTCTTCATATCTATCACCCAATCAAAATCCTGGTAGCTACTGTCTACAGACCTCCAAGGCATTGCCCTTCCTTCCTCAATGATTTCATTATCTGGCTCACAACTTTTCTCTCCTCATCTCCTTCTCTCAATCTAAGTGACTTCAATATACATATTGAGTTTCTACCAAACACCCTAACCACTGAGCTCCTCAACCTATTCACTACACATAACCTACTCCTCCACCCAACGTCAGCCATATGCAGACAGATATAATCTTGATTTTTGTCATCACCCACAAACGTACTACCTCCATGTTCAAGAATTCTAAAATTCCCTTATCTGGTCATGTCTGCCTTCTCTTGCTAAACCCTAATCTTTGTCCACACTATGACCCCCAACCCTTTGACCCTCAGTTCTCTCCCTTACACTGGCTACTTTCTCCTCATTTCTCCATCTTGACCCCCTGGTGAACTGATTCAACCCTACACTGTCCTCTCTTATCATATCACCAATTATGTCCAGTCAAACTTGAGCCTTGCATCATTTCCACCATTCCCTGCCTTTGCTGCTAGACCAGTGCTAAATAGAAGTGGTGAAAATCATATCATGAAAAATTCTCTGTCCATTACAAATTTATGGGGTTTTTTTGTTCTTGTTTGGTCATTTTCAATCATGTCTGACTCTTCATGACCCCATTTGAGGTTTTCGTGGCAGAATACTGGAATGGTTTGCCATTTCCTTCTCCAGCTCATTTTACAGATGAGAGAACTGAGGCAAACAGGGTTCAGTGACTTGCCCAGGGTCACACAGCTGGTAAGTGTCTGAGGCTAGATTTGAACTCAGGAAGATCTTTCTGACTCTAGGTCCAGCACCCTATCCATTAGGCCACCTAACTGCCCCCAGATATATGGTATACAACCTCAACTGGGCTCTCGCTATTGCTAGTGGATTCCTCTGTACCTCCATTATCAACTCATGATCCCATTCTCCACATGGCTCTTCGAAACCTTTTTATCCCTTCTCCAATCTCCTATGCTTCCCTCTCCACCCAATGGCCTTCTCTCAATCCCCATTCTCCTTGACTTCTCTGCAGTCTCTGGCACTGGTGATCGGCCTCTCCTCCTTGATATTTTCTTGTCTCTAGGTTTTCAGGACACAACTCTTTCGTGCTTCTCTTCCGACCTATCTGACCACTCCTTCTCAGACTCCTTTGCTGGACCCTCATCCAGATCATGTCCTCTAACTGTAAGTGTCCCTTTTGTCCTGGGCCCTCTTATCTTCTCCCACAATACCATTTCAACTGGTGATCTCATTAGCACCATGCAGATGATTATCAAATTTACCTGTTCTCTCCTAACCTCTCTGGTGACCTCCGATCTCATATCTCCAGCTTTCAAACACCTTAAAGTGGATGCCCAGGAGACATCTTAAACTCAACGTGTTCAAAATAGAGCTAATTATTTTCCCCCTAAACCCTCTTTCCCAACTTTCCCTATTAAAATAGAAGACATCACCATCCTCCCATCCCTTTGGACTTAGAATCTAAGAGTAATCCTCTTTTCCTTCCTATCTCTCTCCTCCCATATCCAATCTGTTGCCAAGGTCTGTAGATTTCACCTTTGCAAAATCTCTTGAATATACTTCCTTCTCTTCTGTTAGCGCTGCCCCCTGCTCTGGTACAGGCACTCTTCACTTCACATCTGGACTACTTCAATAGGCTGCTGGTGGATCTGCCTAAATTCTCTCCCCACTCCAATGTATCCTCCATTTAGCCACTCGAGCAATTTTCCTAAAGTGCAGGTGCAACCGTCTCATTCCTTTTACTCAGTAAACTCCAGTGGCTCCCTATCACCTCCAGGATCAAATACAAAATCCTCTGCTTGCTGTTCAAAGCCCTTCATAACCTATCCCTCTCCTACCTTTCTAGTCTTCTTATACTTTACTAACTGTCAAGTACTCTTTGATCCAGCAACACTGGCCTCCTTGCTGTCCTGCAAACAGAACTAGACACTCCATCTCTTGGCTCCGGGCATTTTCTTTGGCTGTCCCCCATGCCGTTCCATGCTGTCCTCCATCTCTACCTACTGGCCTCCCTGGCTTTCTTTAAGTCCCGACTAAATTCCCCTCTCCTACAAGAAGCCTTTCCCACCCCTTCAGTTCTAGTGACTTCCCTCTGTTAATTATTTCCTATTTATCCTATATATAGCTTGTTTGCATATACTTGTTTATTGACACTTCCATTAGATTGTAAGCTCCTTGAGGGCAGGGGCTGTCTTTTCTCTCTTTTTGTAAACCCAGTGCTTAGCTCAGTGCCTGGCGTATATAGGTACTTGATATATGTTTATGGGTTGATTGATTGACTGGGAATTCACTATCCTATCCCTATCCTATGGTCTTATATATTCTACATAATTTATTGAGCATCTACCATGTGCAAGGGGCTGATCTAGGCACCAGGGACACAAGATGAAAAATTTGACAATTCCACTCCTCGAGGGACTTGCTGCTATCTCACAAGTACATTTGGAGCCTAGAATATTAAATGTTCCAAGGTCATTTAGATCAACTCTCTCCTTTCTTTTTTTTATGAAAAAGGAGACATAGGCCCCAAAAGGCAAATAGAACTGCAAAATGAACTAGACGTAGTCACTAAGTGTGACTGCTGGTCCTGTGTACTTTCTGCTCTTTTGGACATTGACTACCTCTGGGATCGGAGTAAGAAGGAAGGAAAAAAGCATTCATTAAGTCCGTCTATGTGCCAGGTGCTTTACAAACAGTATCTTGTTTGATCCTCACCATAACTCTGGGGGGTAGATGCGATTATGATCCCCATTTTATAGCTGAGGAAACTGAGGTTAAGTCACGTGTCCAGAAGCACATAGCTAATAAGTGTCTGAGACCAGATTTGAACTCAGGTCTATGCCAACTGGAGGTCCAGTTCTCTACCTGCTGTACCACCTAACTGCCTAAAGGAACCATTTTGCTAGTTGAGTCCTGTACTAAAGGCTAGCCAGAACCAATGGGGCCTCCCACATCAAGCCCTGAGTTCAAGTGGTGTTAAGGATTTAGAGCTAGAAGGATCTTTAAAGATCATCACCTAATCTAATTTACTCATTTTGCATATAAGTAAACTGAGGCCCAGAGAAGGGAGGTAACTTGTCCTATTGAGCCCAAGTCTACTGACTCCCAATCTATTCTCTTTTTACTGGAGTATACTACCACTGTTCTGTGTACCCTAGAAAAGGGCTAGGGAATTAGGGAACTCAGGGCTGGTGGATAAGGATTGGAGGTGGCATTTATCACTATCAATAAGTGGAGTTAAATAACTGTGTATCATTGGGCAGACTCAAGGCATAAATGGAGGGTATTAGTTTCTCTGTGCGGTCTTCTAGCCTTCATTTTTGTGATTTTTGCGTTGAGTTCATCTCTACAGAGGACAAGTTCATATCTGGGTATTTGCTTACCTGCTACTCAGAATATAGAACATTGCATTGTATATTTGTGATCTTCAGTATTTACCTCCTTCAAACACTCAAGAGTTGCTTTCCAACTTCTTTGAGACAGAGTGGAAAGAGAAGAGCCATGGCTTTGGAGTCAAAGGACCTTAATTCAAATCTTGCCTCTGACACTTACTTGCTGAGTGACCTTGGGCAAGTCACAACCTCCTAGACTTCAGTTTCCTCATCAGTAAAATGGGGGGGGGGGTTGGATGCATTAATCTAAGGGAGTTAATTTTTAGTTTCACTCACCTAATGGGGAAGAAGTGCCCCAAACTATATATCCAATGCTTGACTCTTTTCCCCAAATGTTGGTTCTACAATGAACTTACAGTGCAAATAGGAAATAGACCCATTTATCCAAGTGAATGGAAATCAGAAAAAGAAAATGGGTGAGAATATACCAGAAAATAGAGTGAACTTTAGGAAAGAGAAAACTCAACCAAAAGAGTCCCAGAGGTCACCCAAAGGGGAAATTCCCTGATGTCTCTAACATAGTAGTAAGTTAGGGATAGGAACAGGATGGAGGTTCCAGCTCCTTTCCATGTTGGCTTCTTCCTAGAGTCTGTCTTTCCTTTCAGGGACCTGATGAGAACATGGAACCATGTGTTTTCCCTCAAAGTTGGAAGCCAGAAGACTAGGATCTTTCTTCTCTCAAGCTCTCCCAAGCTCTACTCCTCCCACAGACACAAATATTCAGTAATCAATCTCCACCAATGAGGAGAGTGCTATGCAAATGAAATTAAGCCAATGGGTTACATCCCTAAGGTCCCTACCAGCTTTAAAATCTAAGATTCTGAAAGACCAGCTAGCTTCATGGGGAGGGCGGCTAGGTTTGGAAATCAGGAAGACCTGGGTTCAAATATTGCCTTTGATACTTATTA